CAAGATCACTGCCAAGGGGCGGCGCTGGGCAGCAAGGGACACAGAGCTAGACCTCTTCGCCGACATGGAGCCCACGATCACGTTTGACCGCAGTGATTCTTGTGATGCAGCTGCCACCGTCGCCACCACGGGCGACTCGCACACAAACCCTGCCATGGACTCCAGAGGGACGCGCGATGCCGAAGCGCCAAGTGGCACTGGAGATGGGAAGACGCAGCCGGACAAATTCGCTGCAGTCGCTGCAACTGAGGTGAGACGCACAGCTGTACGTGCGCGAGTCGGCGTGTATGCACGACGACGATAAGAAATATCCCCTCCACCCTCTTTAAATTTGTTAACTTTTTAGACCAGTTCTGTTAATGAGCCCCTGTTAATGGCTACCACAGGACACGAGCCAGCATTGTGTGCTCGAGGCAACTTTTGTCTCCGCAATGCCAGTGTTGACACCATAAGAAGTACTACATTAAGGCTGGGTCACCCTACAGAACTCCCAGTGCGAGTTAAGGCACTATGTATGGGTAGTTGCACATGAAGTCTCGTTAATTTAACCTGTATTTGATTGCGATAATTAAAGAACGGTGCGCTTACAATGATAAGTCCTTGTGTGAGAACACTTGCATACGCACAGGCACAAATGATCTCTCAGACCGCAGACGTGCCACTTGTTTTTTTCCCTACCTTTTGTCCAACTCCCAGGATGCGTCATGGGGCTGGGATGAAGACACCGAACTGGACTGGAGCGAGTCAGGCTGGCAGGATGCGGAACATGAAGAAAAGCAAAGCAGAGCTGACACAAACTCTTAGCACAGACCGTGACAGAGTGGTCATCCATATACCTGCTCCCTTTCTCCTCTTCCTATCACGCCCACTCTCCTACCTCTTTTAATGTGACCTCATCACTCAAACTGTCCTTTTTTAAATGTTCAGCTTTTCTACTATCTGCCCTCCCAAATTCATTACTTTTTCAATCATTCTTATCCTCCGTTCACTATCCGGCATTTCATATTTGTGCTTGGCGTGCTGATCACCAATCTCTGCTCAGCGAAAATTTGAGCAACCTTACGTGGTGGCGATATGATTTACACCAGCACTTGGGGAGACTAAGGTGGCGGGGCATGCAAAGTGCTGGTTCCACCACCACCTTATTGTAATTTGCTGAGTCGGCTTTAAAAGTTGCTCGCAAATGACACTCGTCCCTGCAAGCTTAAAAGGAAAACATTCTTGGTTCCTCTTTTTATATTTGTCTCATACTTTCAATTCCCTGTCTCTTTTCCGACTCATTGTCATTGCATTGTGCAGTGATGATGCAGAACTCTATCTTAGGCAGTTGCCTTCTGGCTCTGTAATGGAGCTAATCATCTCAAGGGGCCCACAGACTGTGCTTCTCAACACTATTTTTTAACCCCTGCCTCCACGAGGCCAAAAGGAGAGGTCACTCGTCGACCCCCCCCCCCGGCTTCTGGAATGGCTTTCCCTGAAAGCGGCGGCACTGGTCCATTCGGCACTGGGCACGCGTTTCGCTCATCAGTGCCAAGCATTCCCATGGCCAGCATTTGCCTACAATAGCCAGATGGTGACGCTGGAGCCAGTGAGAGGAGCTCGCTGAAATTCCAGAACGAGTGCATTGCCAGAGACGCCTTCGTTCACTCAAGTGGTCTGTGAAAGATGCTTTAAGAAGAAAACGATCCTGATGTTGCTGGACGGTTGTTGTTGTTTGGCTGAAGGCAGCCGGCACTTTCCGCTTGTTTGTTTGAAGCTGCGGAGTGAAGCGGATTGGAACGGGACTGCCACCGCACTTCACATGCACATCTAACTCGTTCTGCGCTTTAATGCACACACCGCATGCATACTTTTGTGTTTAAACTTCAGTCTCTGCTGGAAAGGTTATGCATTACACTTCACCCTCCACAAACCTCTGCTCAGTGTAATAGGTAACTTAAGTGTATTGTTAGGGCATTGTGAGATCAGGTCTTGGCTCAATGATGTTTGTGCAGCCCAGTCTATTGATGCCAGCCTGTGATATTCAGTGACTGTTGGGACAGGGTTGGATTGTTTGGTGGTGTCAGTCCCTGTGTTGAGTGAACACGCAATTGACACGTGTTCATTCTGTGCACAGCAAGGAAACCCAGGCATAAGACTGACTTGAGCACACTGTAAATATTAATAACCAAGCCTTCATAACAGTGGGGGCCGGTGTCACTCCTGTACTGGATGGAACACTGCACCAAAGAATGTATGATCCATTGTGGGGTAGCTCCTTGAGAGAAACTCTCCAACGATAAGCTTCACAGCAAGCACGTGCCTAGGGTGGCCTCAAATGCCCTACGTACATGTGATTATCTGTGATGAATACATTGCGCCCGGCACTATGGATGAGTAGCTTCAAAACCTGTGGCCAATGTCGTTTGTTTTTATTTGTCAATATAGCTTCATCTTGTTGGGTAGCTTGAAAAGGCAGGCTGTGTCTGGCTTGTGCATGCCTCCATATGCTGCTCTCGACATCAAACCATCATTCTGCTGGTCCACATCAAGGTTTGGCAGCATTGCATCAGAGATGTATGGGCCATTTTAGACTGAACCTACGTCACCGCACATATTTATGGACGAATCAATTGGGAGAGGGTTTTTCTTAATTGTGGTAATAAAAATTAATGTGAAGTTGCCTTGCCGCTTGCATAATTCTCATTTTGTACAAAATGCACTTATGTTAAGTTGTCTCTTTTTAGACGGGGCTTCTCCGTGCCTAGTGAAAAGGAGTGAGCAAATGCATTTTCAACGGAATGGTGGGATCTAGATGTTGGGACATTATGAAACACTGCAGGATTTTTTTTCAGTCCACGTTTTCGTTTTTTGATGCAAAATTCAACTGGAAAAAATAAATCTCAACTGGTGAAAATATGTTGAGGTGCACGATTACGTAGTTGAGTGTGTGTGTGTGCACACGAGCACATGATATCGCTGAACACTGGGTTCTACATATTGGGCATATAAAGCTGCTCAAATGTGAATTCATATTCTATGGTTCTATTGGTAAAGTCACGTGGATAGAAAATAAAAAATAAAGTGAATAAAGAATATCACGACGTTTCGACCGTAACACAAGCGGTCATCAGGAACAGGGAGGTTAGCCTCTGAGGGCAAGCTGTTTAAAGGTTTAGAGATGGGAGGGGCGTCTAATGTTAATGTAAGAGAGGGCTCCGACACCGGCAGTTCGTCAACACCAATCAAAGCATTGCACCTCGCTCCACACACCCACACTGCTGACGGTGGAGGTGGACAAGAAAACACAAATCAAGTCATGACCCAAAGTGGTTGATGACTTGTGTTTTCTTGTCTACCGTCAGCAGTGTGGGTCTGTGGAGCGAGGTGCAATGCTTTGATTGGTGTCGACCTACTGCCGGTGTCAGGGCCCTCTCCAACATTAACATCAGCTGCCCTGCCCATCTCTAAACCTTTATAAACAGCTTGCCCTCAGAAGCTAACCTCCCTGTTCCTGATGACGACCGCTTGTGTTGCGGTCGAAATGTCGTGATATTTTTATTATTTTGTATTCACTTTATTTTTATTATTTCATTGTTATTATTTTTCTATCTACGTAACGTTACCGAAAGAACCATAGAATATTAATTAATTCCTGCAGTCACGAAAGTTTTTAAAGTCAAAATGTGAATTCGGCTCAAATGTTAATATAAAAAAAAACTAAAACTTAAGTTTCGATGACAATTGGGATAATTGCTTCGGGATCAGAGAGAGATAAGCAGTATACACTGAATTCATCTTAAGCCCTGATTAAAACTAGCAAGGGTCACAGCAATTAGAGCACTCGCCTTGTATGAACGTTTAGAATTTGAATTCTGGTCATCCTGTGATGCGTCGTCCTTGAGGACGTTAATAGGCACGTAACAATCCACTCCCGCAGAAATGTGATTGTCCTAATTTAAGAGGGGTGCAATTCGATTTGAGGATTCGTTTTAGTCTCATTTGCATTTTCTCATTTCTGTTTTATTTATAGTGTTACCATTACCCTGAATCTAATTAGTACAATTTGTTCAGCCTCAATTTGGACGCGATTTTATGCATGTGGTGTAAGGGGCCGTCCACAAATGACATCACGCGATTTTGGAGGATTTTTAACCCCCCCCCCCTCGTCACACGGCGTCACAAAAAGTCAGACCCCCCCCCCTCAAATATGACGTCACAAAGCTCTGCCCCCCCCCCCCCCAAAATAAAATATGCTTCAAATCGCTTTAAACTATTGGCATTGTAGTGCGTATTTAATGTGGCGCTGCACTCTGATGTTGTAGGAGAAAACATGTATTAAAAGTCTATTTAAATAAGTAGAACGTGTTGTCTATATTTATTTAAAGTTGCGCATTTTGATGTAACGTCACATTTCTAACCCCCCCCCCCCCTCGTCACACATCGTCACAAATGTCTTACCCCCCCCCCCCCAGGTGCGTGACGTCATTTATGGACGGCCCCTAATACGTTTTACGTATTAATGATTCTGCACCCCGAGGTAACAATGGTTGACATGGTGAGCCTGGACCCTGCCATGACGGCAGTCCTGACAAGTTTTCTTGGTTCTTTCGGTAAAGTCGTCACGTAGAAGGGAAGTAATAAAATAATAAAAATAAAACATAATAAAATAATTCTCACGACGTTTCGGCCACAACGCAAGCAGCCGTCCTCAGGTGAAGACCAGGTCTGTCGAGGCGACAGCGTCTGAATGAAGCTGTCTCCCCGACACACCTGGTTTTCACCTGAGGACAGCTGCTTGCGTTGTGGCCGAAACGTCGTGAGAATTATTTATTTTATTTTTATTATTTACATTCTACGTGACTTTACCGAAAGAACCAAGAAGATGAATCCCTGCAGTCACGAAAGCTTTAAATCGAAATTTAGTCCTGACAAGCTCGGAACAACAACTTACATTTCACAAGCACAGGTGTGTGTGTGACGCTTCTCGAATAAACACGAAACTTTCTCATTCACTCTCTTGTTGTATTGTCGCCTAGCAACATTCACAGCTCTATGTATCGAGACTTATTTGCTAGGAAGCGGAGAATAAAGCGGTCAGTTCGTCTCGACGCCAAATTAAAGCGCATCTCAAGACAACATGGGTGAGTGTTTTGAACAGACTTTGAGTAAAGTAAGCACTTCAAGAGATTAAAATTGGGAATAACGTTTAACACGGAGGCTTTCGCGACCAATATTTTTCCTTCTGGCGAAATGCCTGATGACGCTTCAACACACCGGTGGGCTAAAGTAGTGAACTATTTGTCTTTTTGTCAACGTGACACTTTTTTGCTGATTGGCCGTGTCGGGTGGTGGAGGGTTACGACACATTTATAAATAACGCGACCTAACCCAAAAACGTTGATTATGAATTGGAATAACGTAACAACACTAGAAGCCACGTTGCGTGTGTTCTGTCGGGCGTTTGTTTTCAATGTTCAACGGGCATGTTGTAAGCGAGCCTGCGGACTGACACTTTTGCAAATGCGTCCGCATTCTAGATATTCATTCAGTACTTAACGGATAAAGACAACTGAAGGATCTTAGAAGTCCTGTGAAATTAATTTCTTCTGAGAATTGACTCGTGAAATTACACCAATAGAATAACTAGAACAAATTATGCTTATGTTCAAAATGCGCAAACTGTGTGCGTTATAATTGTATGTACGTTGAACGTCTTTCGCACCGTATGTAGCTAACCATACTAATCGGAGGTGCGAGGGAAGGATAACATACTAAACATAAAAAGCAGTTCGAAAAAAATGAGTTTTAAATTGGACGTATTAGGAGTTTTATATTCTTGTTAAAGGGGAAGACATCCTGTCATGGAGTGCATTTTGAACTAACAAGTTGGACGTCGTTTTGGGGAATTGTCCAATTAGTCGGTAATTGAATCCATAATCGGTTGAATCAATTACTTAATTGGAACGCGCAGTTCTACATGAATCCATAACCGATGCAATGTATACATAACAAAAAACATAGATTTTTTTTAGGCAGTTCGATGCATGTATTGTGAGCTTAATGAATCAATGCATTGTTACTTCTCCTTGACTACCCAGGAAAGCCTCACTGAGTTCCATGACTCTTTTCAGGAGGATCCTGCCAAGCTTTCAGAGTAGGGGCTAATGATTGCTATGTTACTGGTGGGAACTCACTGGTTCCACCAGCCCACAGGGGATTATTGTGTCCGTCCGTCGTGTAGGGAGGGGCTGGGTAGGGAGGGAGGGGCTGGGTGGGGAGGGAGGGGCTGGGTGGGGAGGGGAGGGCGGGGCTGGGTGGGGTGGGGTGGGTGGGGAGGGGCTGGGTGGGGAGGGTGGGGCTGGCTGGGGGGTGGGCTGGCTGGGGGTGGGCTGGGTGGGGAGGGGCTGGTCACCCAGTGGTGCCCTTATAAAACTCAACGTTTAACCTACTCACGCCGGCTTGTGCCCGCCCTCACAGTCGGGCAACCCAACATTCCAACCAGCTCCCTCTGCAGGAATGTGTTAATTCCATATTTTATGGGTCTTTCAGTAAAGCCACGTAGATAGAAAAATAAGAAAAATATCACGACGTTTCGATCGCAACACAAGCAATCGTCTTCAGGTGAGAGAGAAAGCTGCTGAGACAAGGTCTTATATAGGCCTGAGATGGGTGCATCAAGGTAGATATCTTATGGCTATATTACAATAAATATCAAGATCCCGTATCTGCATCACATGTATCACCCAGTGGTAGCATCAGTTCAGTGTATGTATTGTCAATGTGTGTACATTATAATCCACAAGTATTGCCTTAAATCTTGACTTAAAGCTTTCGTGACTGCAGGAATTCATATTCTTGGCTCTTTCGGTAAAGTCACGTAGATATGTTTAAAGAAAATAGCAAAAAAATTACGAATAAACTACGACGTTTCGATCGCAACACAAGCGGTCGTCTTCAGGAAAAGGGGGGTTAGCTTCCAAGGTGAACTGTTTATAAGGGTTGAAATGGGCGTATCCCAAATGTCAGCAGTCAATGATAATGTAAGTGGCGGACAGCCAACCCGATGGTGGTTGGTTTTCCACCAATCAAAGGGCTGCCAGGTGAAAATTAGCATGTCAAAGAGAGATTAGCATTAATTCTAGATTTGAAGCTTTCGTGACTGCAAGGATTCATATTCTTTGTTTTTTTTCGGTAAAGTCACGTAGGTAAAACATCAAAATTTATAAAAATTAATTGTTTTGTTTTATTTTATTTTTATTAATTTTGATGTTTTACCTACGTGACTTTACCGAAAAAACCTAAGAATATAGAGATTAGCATGTTAATGGTAGATTGCAGAGCAGCAACCAAGTATTGCCTCGTGAAAGTTGGACTTGGATGAATCAGTGTAGCCTAGCAACGTTCAAGATATCACACCTCGACTCAATGTCTGTGGGAAGGGAAATTCTTGTTGTTTCAGCAAGCGCTTAGTTTTTTTTGTTCTCTTCTGTTTTGGATTCAAAAGTGTCGGTCACGTGTGCCGGCATCATGGTTTACATTGGCTAAATAAAATGTAACAAAAATTATTTGCAAAAGTCTTAATTTGGGAAAACCTAATAGCAATATCACCCCCTACTGGCAGACTAATTCCCACTTGCAGGCCCAGCTCTGTGTTCACCTTGAAGTGAGGAGAGGGGTCATCTAGGACAGGGGTCATCTAGGACAGGGGTCCCCAACCCCCGGGCCGCGGACCGGTATTGGTCACCGCACAGCAGCAGGAGGTGAGAGCGGTGAGTCCGCGCGTGGGCCGCCCCATTATTTATTTATTGACCACTTCCGTCCGCGCCTCTTTCCCGCAACGCGCACTTGTCTCAGTCACAGTGTTGGTAAGCCCACGAGCTCTAACCCCTAGTAGCCAAAATGAGTAAAAAACAAACGTCGCTGGAGAACTTCTTTGAAAAGGGGGAAAGACCCAATGATGACCCCCCCCCCACCCCCGGTCCGTGAAAAAATTGTCTTCCACGAAAGCAGTCCGTGGTGCCAAAAAGGTTGGGGAGCGCTGGTTTAGGATACAACTAAAGTTGAGCATTGGAATCATTGAGATGTGATATGTGTGTACTCTGCTCTGACTTTTGGTTGTTGTTGTTGTTGTTTGACTTGCATCCCACTGGGATTTTTTGCACACAGTGTTGGTGTACGGTGATTTTTCTGCAATATTTTGCTGCCTTTTCTTGGATTTTCTGTTTGCACATAGTCACTTTAAGATGTATTCTTGTTCATGTTTTTGTTTTTTGTTTGTTGCGGTTGCACCCGATTCAAGAGCCGAATGGCTCACATGGCTATACCTAATAAATGAACTTGAACTTGCTTAAGATGCTAAAATTGCCGGTTTGCAATCGGTTGGTTTGGGAGGTTTCAAATGCCGGACTCTTTGCTCACTCCAGGAGGGAATGCATCAGGCAGCGCTCCCAACGCGAAGGACATCGATACGACTGGAGCCTCTGCATCCACAGCGAGACAAGACAGACTGGAAATCACTGGTGAAAGGGCACATGGGGAATACACGCGCACACACAAGCTGTTTACCCACGTGCATTGGAGCATCGAACTTGAAATGTTTTCTCAGGATAGCTACGCTGAGTCTTTGTTGATGCAATTTGAACAGAACTGTCGATTCAGTATGGAAACTTCACTTGCAATTGTGTTTGGCAAATATCCTTGTCTGTTTATATATTTCGTAATCATCTGTTTCATGTTTCTGTCCGTTAATTGTTGATAAGCACAGTTGGCTACGTACGGTGCAAAATAAGTTCAACGTACATACATTATGAATCGTCTGAAAAGTTATTTGTCTGAGCCAACTCTCATTTCAGGACTTTAACATGTTTTTATTATGTTTGTGCTTTATTGTTTTTATTTCTCCCGTAACGTTTTTTTTTCTGATATTTATATTTGGTGTGTCCCCCCCCCCCTAACTCTCTATATGCTTCACTGCTTTACTTCACATTATTTGAATGGTATTATAATTTTGGTGACGAAGGTCACTCTTGCAAATTCGACTTTCCTGGACTCTTTGAGTTCTCACCTGGATAGATACACAAATAAGCTGAACTTGGTGCTTAAGATCACCGTCATTGTCATTAATTCTAGATTTGAAGCTATCGTGACTGCAATGATTCATATTCTTAGGTTTTTTTTCGGTAAAGTCACGTAGGTAAAAACAAAATAAAATAAAAATCACGACGTTTCGGAGGCAACACAAGCTTCCGTCTTCAGGTGGTACCGTCACAACCACGACAGCTGTATCAAGTAAATAAGAGATTGCAGGAGCTACCACTCCGTACCACCTGAAGACGGAAGCTTGTGTTGCCTCCGAAACGTCGTGATTTTTATTTTATTTTACTTTTTCATGTTTTTACCTACGTGACTTTACCGAAAAAACCTCAGAATACGTCATTGTCATACTCATGTTTGTGACCAAATTCGTCTCAGGAGTGGAGGCCTCTGATAATATGGTCCAAACTGACGATGCTCGTCTGGAGAGCGAGTCCCATGGTGGGGCCGTCCTTCAAGACGGCCATGGCGACAAGGGAAACGCGGTAGGGCTCGTGCAGGTGCTGAGCACCAACAAACAGCACACGTGAACACAAAGACGGTCACCGCATCGCGAGGCACTTTCAGATGCGCTTCTGCGGCCGTCTGGATCGCTCTTCCTTCCGATATTAGGAAGCCACTGGAGCTATGCACTTTTAAATCTAGATTTGAAAACTCATTTCTTTAGAACTGCTGTTTGTGTTTAGTTTGTTCTTCCACCGCACATCCAATTAGCACCGTTGCCTACACATGGTGCGAAAGAAGTTCAACATACAACACGATTTAGAGGACTGCCAGGTCGAGGAAAGCTTGTACTATATTCTCCAGCTGATAAGACGCACTTTTCCCCTGTATCTTAAAGCAGAAGTTGGGGGAGGGGTATATCTTATAGTCTGCTAAGGGTGTGTGTGTGTGTGTGACCAGATTTGTCTAATTTTAATGACACAGGGAACACTTTTGGTTCGTCTTTCCGGAATATGGCACGATATGGTAGCTCAATCGACCAGCGAGACTCCGCCTGGGTAGCTTTCGTCTTGAATAAGTGGGCAGGGCATCCGTTTTTTGAGAAATTGTTGAACTCATCAATTAATTTAACACGAAGATTTATGTCACCGAAAAACATTCAAAAATGATGCTGCTCGGCAGGAGGATAAATATTCGTGATAACCAGACACTGACAAATTTGAACAATTAAAGAGTCTATTCAGGCGAATGTGTGACAAACAATAACTGGCTGTATCCGATGACTTCCTCTTGGAAAAGTTTCATCATTCCACCCACAGCACCTCGGTCTGCTGCACACCATATTATACTGGTAGGAACCTCTGGTTACACCAGCCCACAGGGGATTATTGTGTCCGTCCGTCCGTCGTGTATCCAAAAATGGGAGGGGTCAGGCTGGGTAGAAAGGGTAGGGTGGGGAGGGCTGGGTGGGGAGGGTGGGGAGGGGCTGGGTGGGGAGGGTGGGGCTGGGTGGGGGGTGGGAGGGGTGGGGCTGGGTGGGGAGGGGCTGGTCACCCCGTGGTCTCAACGTTTAACCTACTCACGCCGGCTTGTGCCCTTTGCGGAATAGACCACGCCGCCGTTGACCCTGGCCATTGACCGAGCAACCCAACGTTCCTACCAGCTCCCTCCACAGGAATGTGTTGAACCTTTTCCACTCCATATTGACGCACTCTTCACCCAATTCTGGCATGGGCGCTTTGGAGACATCGCATCCAACTTAATTTTTGTGACCGCCATAGTTATTGCGTCCGCGTTCACAGGTTGACAAGCGTCTCCACGAGCCGCAAGGTGCATCGAACAGCGCGGAAGACATCACGCAAGGTGCAGAAATTCTAAACAACAACATCACACAGATGCAGACGAAATTCCCAGACTGGACTCCAGAACAGCATTCATAACCATCACAATGCCCAGCTAGAGGGACACCATCCTTTAGTCATGAATGTCTTAATCCAGCCGTGGATTGACAAAGCGCTGTACTTTTTCTTTTTAAAATAATTGACACCATTCATTTTTTTTAAATTGTCATTCACTACATGGGTGTGTGGACAAATTTGGAGTTGCCTGTATCGTGTGTCTACTGGACATCTGTGAAAATTGCTTTATAGCTCATCGGATTCCTTCAATATATATTCTGATTCTGATATTCTGATTCTGTGTGTTTGCCTGTGTCTGCACAGGAGGCATCTCTGCTTCCAATGCTGGCACAGGGAATGTGCGGACCTATGCCAACATGGACAAGGGCACTGCCGGAAATGACGATGCCAATGACGTGGCAGCTGGTGCCCAGTGCCTGAGCACCGATAGCTGTGTCCCAGGAACGCCAGCACTCTGTCCCAAGTGATAGTGGCTCTGCACTTGTCAGAAAGCCTCGAGATACAGGTTGGGGGTTCAATGCCAGGGCACTGCGAGATGCACCCACACAGATCATGATCCATCTCCATTCTCAAGCCACCTCAGCGCATCTGTAATTTGAATGGGCTTTATTAATTGATTCAGTAAATAAAATCCTAAATCAGTTTAACTAGAAGTCAGCACAATTCATAACTATAAATAATATATTCAAATTTCAGGGTTACAATAAGATAATTGGTTCTTTACCCTTCTATCTGGCAACAAAACTGACACCTTTTTGCAAGGAGTCATGTTTGCATAGACCGCAATACCTGCAGTCATAATACAAACAAAAGAACATAACTCTGATAATGTGCACTGTCCTTGAAGTTGATTGGTCCACACCCGAGACAGCTTTCCTTCGAGCCTAGTCTCATATGGGTTGGACCAGATGACGCCAAAAGGCGCACAACTCAAGGACAATGCACCATCAGAGTATGAGAGCTCGGGGCAAGCATCTACACTATGGGGACCTCATTTACCAGTAAAAATATGATAATTGGTTCTTTACCCTTCTATCTGGCAACAAAACTGACACCTTTTTGCAAGGAGTCATGTTTGCATAGACCGCAATACCTGCAGTCATAATACAAACAAAAGAACATAACTCTGATAATGTGCACTGTCCTTGAAGTTGATTGGTCCACACCCGAGACAGCTTTCCTTCGAGCCTAGTCTCATATGGGTTGGACCAGATGACGCCAAAAGGCGCACAACTCAAGGACAATGCACCATCAGAGTATGAGAGCTCGGGGCAAGCATCTACACTATCCTTGAGTTGTGCGCCTTTTGGCGTCATCTGGTCCAACCCATATGAGACTAGGCTCGAAGGAAAGCTGTCTCGGGTGTGGACCAATCAACTTCAAGGACAGTGCACATTATCAGAGTTATGTTCTTTTGTTTGTATTATGACTGCAGGTATTGCGGTCTATGCAAACATGACTCCTTGCAAAAAGGTGTCAGTTTTGTTGCCAGATAGAAGGGTAAAGAACCAATTATCATATTTTTACTGGTAAATGAGGTCCCCATAGTGTAGATGCTTGCCCCGAGCTCTCATACTCTGATGGTGCATTGTCCTTGAGTTGTGCGCCTTTTGGCGTCATCTGGTCCAACCCATATGAGACTAGGCTCGAAGGAAAGCTGTCTCGGGTGTGGACCAATCAACTTCAAGGACAGTGCACATTATCAGAGTTATGTTCTTTTGTTTGTATTATGACTGCAGGTATTGCGGTCTATGCAAACATGACTCCTTGCAAAAAGGTGTCAGTTTTGTTGCCAGATAGAAGGGTAAAGAACCAATTATCATATTTTTACTGGTAAATGAGGTCCCCATAGTTCAGGGTTACATATTATCGAGACGGGATGCCAGATGTGGTGCCTGAAGGAAAATAAATTGTATTAATAAATTTAATTGAGCCCAGAATTAGTCACAAATTAGACCAAAGGTCTCACTTCAATAATATAGTTTTGATTGCCATAGGCTGACAGAGAAATATTCCCAGACTTTGCAGAAGTGGTGGTAGCCCTGCCACCCATATGTCCCACTCCATTCATTCATATGCCAAGTCACTCAAGTAACTCACCCACCCATTCACTCAACCACTCACCAACCAACTTACGTTTATTCGATTGGTCATACGGGGTGGTCACGTTTGTCCAGCTGTCTGGCTATTCTACAAGGGAGATCCGTGGTGCGTGAGCAACAAAACAAAGCCAAAATTAAACGTCAATATTGCAGAGAACGAGTACAACTTTGGTGGCCACCTGCCCGAGATTGACTCAATAATGGGAACTGGTGTTTTTGTGGCAGCAATTGGTTTGTACAGAGATCTTGTGGTTCTGTACATTACTGTGTTATGGTGAAAGTTATTACAATATACGGCACAGTTTTGATAGACCTAGTGCTGAGACACATGTTCTGATTTGGTCTGTGAAAAGTGTGTAGAGTAAACCCTACGTGTAATACAATGAGATGCAGGCAGTCACAGTACTGATAATCGAGGGAATTTGCCATACATTATAGTGCCATGCATTGATTGACTACCATCATACAACACGATTAGAATACAGTACCCTGTATCAAGAGCGACCACAACTCTACACAATGCAGTGAATCGAGTGTGTCCATGAATCTTTCGAGTCAGGTGACTTCACAGTACAGTACGTGGACGAGTTGGGGGACTGTTACGGTGAGAAAGAAATGTAATGCATCGGGAAACGTAATTGTGCTGCTTGAATATTAAAGCAATCCATCCATCACGCGTGTGCAGTCGTACACAATGATCATGACATACCTGGGACAAGGGGACGGATGAACGTATGGCGGCCAGACGCTTCATCGCACACCACACCTGCAACCTATCAAGCAGGACTTTATTACTAGCAGTGGATAGATGCATCAATTCATGAATGTTAATTTCCGAAGCCTCGCAATACATGCGCACATCATGAAAGAGATGTGGAAATGTTACGTTTAGAAGAACAGGAGTGAAAAAACATTGCTACCACCAATCAGAATCAGATTGAGAATTGTATTTATCGTGGAAGAAACCGATGAGCTATGAAGCTCTTTTCACTCATGTCCAGTAGTTTCACAGATGTTCAATAGAGAGAGAAAAAAAAACATTAAACAACACGAGAGAGACCATAAAATCGAAGCAAATTATTCTTGAATCGAATCACGACCCAGAATCGTGATCATCAAATTGGTGGGTGTGAAATGTTCAAAATGATTTGCTGGTCAAATGAGCTTTGAAATGGTGACAATCTCCTGTTTACAGCCCAGGGCCAGTGGTGGAAATTACACTCCTATGGTAGGGGAGAATCTAAGCATAGATTAACCACCGCTAACATACCCACAGCGCGGTACCTGTTTTATCGACTCCGGAGGTATGATGGGCAAAGTCAACTCCAACTTGGATTTTAACTCGCATCATTCCGAATACAAGCCACTCGCTGTACCGCTGAGCCTAGTTAAACAGATCGTTACGTTTTTGTAGTTACTTTAAAACTGGGGAGACAAAGGCGATCGGGCGTGGTGCTGGCCACCAACCCCCTCGAGTGCCGTTCCAGCCTTTATAGGTGCTCGCGAACAGCACTTGCCCCAAAAGTCTGTAAAGGCTATACGGAAGATCTTGGTCTTTGTACACTACACAGCATCCACCAGCTCTATAAGTGTGTCTATATACCTTGTGTTTTGTGTACTCAGAATTGAAGAAATGAACACTTTCCCTCCTCATCGGATCAGATAAGAGCATTGACATTGAAGGTCAACCGAGTTGAACTTGGAAACAGATACGTTGACCGTTCTAGAACGTTGGTCAGACATTCATATGCCTGTTCCGGGAAAGTCCCTTCCTACCCGGGCGGCTATTTTTCCGCACAAGGAAAGTCCCAGGGTGGCATTTGGGAAATTCCCAGACATACCCAGGACAAACAACCAATCAGAAAAAAACAGAAAACATTACACTCTACACATAGGTCAATAAAAAAAACACAAAGCAAATATAATTCGGATGAAAGACAGTGACATTCCTCTTTCACTTCAACAAGTAGTGTGTGGCAAAAAATCGAGAGCTCCACGGTGACGAGATGTTAACTGCCTCGCCTGGTATGCAGGGTGCACGTGGGTTTGATCCCGACCCTGACGCCTGCTGCTGCTGTACATTTGGAGTGTGCGTGTTCTCCCCGTGGTCGCGTGCATTTTTCTCCGAGTTCTCCGGGTTTTCCCTCCACATTTAGAATCGACATCACGCGTTTAGAGTATTTGGCTGCAATACATGTCCACGTGATAAGCCACTTCAATGAGCTATCATTTGCGGCAAGGTCGCTTCTGAAAATGAGCTATTAGCTGATTGGACCTTACCTGGTAAAATCAAAAATTTAGTTTAAATAATTTCGTTTAAACCCAAAGTGACACAATCATATTTTAATTGACGAGGCTTTTTCCAGGTAAGAGCTTCAATATCGTCTGACATGGCACATTAGCCCACCTAAACAGTAAAATCTTGGCCGTGTGAATAATAATATTTTATTTTAGAAAGCGCACTACATGTCGAAATACGCGTCTCAAAGAGCTGTACTGTATTTCCAAAGTGCTGGCGTGACGACAAGCTTGCAATAGGCCCGTGGAATAACTTACACATTCCAAAGGTACACCACGCCCTTCAGAATTTCGCCACTTATACTGTTGTACTGGACATTCTACTAAACGCACATCGGGCAATAAATGCGCATTTATTGCCCAATGTGCGTTTGCCTGTGGCCAAAAAAACAAAAACATTCTGTCGTGTGACGCAACTGAGAAACCGATACTTTCTCTTTTGGTCCGCTACTGTATCAGTGCATGCATTACTTCCTCTTTTTCTCTCGATATATATAGCCGGGACCCAAACGCATTTGCAGAGTCACTGTGCGTTTTAGGGCTGAGATTTAAAGAGTTTGGATCGGTTGCTCCGTCTGATCTGCGCCAGACTCACGCCCAGCATCTCAAAGATGGGTGAGTGCTTTTGAACGAGCTTCGAATAGAATACGCGCATTTACAAAGGGGGAAAACGTCAGAGCACCGCGATTGAAAAGCAACAACATCGTTGTCCGGACGTGGCCCATTGATTGGCCACCACGTTGCGTTCGTTTTTGTTTCGCATGGGGTGGTTGTCACCGGCCGTGTCACAAGCGAGCGAGCCTGCTGTGAATAAATCCAACACTCCTGCCACCGTGTAGGCATTGCATAGGCATTGTGAAGCGTGGATTTCTGAGACGATGCGTATCTCGCTGTAAGAGGTTGCAAACGTTCGATAAAGGCTATAACGTGTAAACGGTGTATGCGTGCAGTTGTGTGCAATACATGGACACGTATGTACGGTCTTGTATAATAGGCGTTTTGCCAGCGAGCTGATGGTCTCTCTGTGTATGTATGTAATAAGTAATACTTTAAAAATACTTTTTTTAAAACACGCTTTCATGAAATGTACCGTACTAGTAATGGAATAACTCTACGACTCCAGGCAGTGGCCCCGAAGCTTGCCATAACGTAAGGGACCTTGGGCAATTACAGCCAACGTCAGTTGAGCGTGGACAATTAGAGCCAAGCCGAAACATAACATATAGAAATAATGTTATAATATATGTTTTTTTTAATAGAATATAGTATTGTCATCAGTATGACACAAGTATGCCACGTTTGCACTTTGCAGTCTATACCACATTGGGAAGTTGGTTAAAATTGAATTACAAGATTTGAGGATACAACAACAACAGACAGAGTGAGTTAAATATAAAAGCGTGTAATAAAATAAAAAGTGGGTTTAGCGATAGTGCATTTTTTTTTTGCGAGCTGCGCTGCACTGCAAACGCGGCCACCCGAGTTCGACTCCAGCTCACGCCGAACACCTGTGACGATGATCTGAATCGGTCCTGGTCCTCCCCAAGATCGATGTGTAATCAACGCCACTGGGGAGACAAAGGCGGCCGGGCGTGGTGCTGGCCACCCACCCCATCGTATGCCGTGCCGGTCTTCGTCTGTGCTCGCTAACAGCACTTGCCCCGACAGTCTGTAAGGCTATATGGGGGGTGGAGGAGAGAAGGTCGCAACCGGGTACCCGATACCCGTACCCTACCCGATACCCGTACCCTACCCGATACCCGGCGACCCTGGTGCGGCCGGGTACGGGTAGACCGTGAGTCACTGGTGAGTAACCGTTTGTCACTCATTTCGGGTAGGGTACGGGTAGGGAACGGGTACCCGTTCCCTACCCGGCCGGGTACGGGTACCCATTTGCGACCCTGGTGCGGCCGGGTACGGGTACGGGTAAGGAATCAAACCCCGTTTGCGACCTCTGCTTTGCCTTGGTGGTGATGCCCCCGTTCCGTTTCAACTCTTCCCGTTTGCGTCGTAAGCCGCCGGCACACGGAGACCCTACGGAGGAGACATCATGAACATCGACACGACAGGAGCGTCGGCTGCTACAGCGAACCAAGACCGACTCGGCTTCGATGGTGAGCAGGCAAATCGGGGGAATCTCCGTCGCCAGTGCGTTGTGTGTGTGTGTCGTATCAAGCCTCTCGCGTGGGAATAGTTTTACCCAGCAAAGCCTCACTGGGATTTTTGAGAATGTTTTTTTGAAAGGGGAGGGGGGTCCCTGCTTAGGTTGATTAGGTAAATTCTGAGTTGAGTCCATACTACAGTCTTAATTTTAACCAAATAATAATTCCATACTACAGGTTTTTTTTTGGGTTCGATCGCGTAAATATATAAATGTGTCGTTAAACCCGCCACCACCCGACACAGCCAACTAGTAAGGGCTGTCACGTCAACAGAACGTGCCCATTCGTCACTAGTACAGCACACCGGCGTATTGGAGAGCAAAGCCACATCATTTACAATCGGAGTACGACGTTTCGCCAGTAATTACAACTAGCTTCATCAGTATGGGTGATATTGGTCGCGAATGCCAATGAGCCGAGTGTTTTTTGCATGATAAAGGAAAACAGAAGTTCGATTAAAAAATATCTATGCATATTACAGTGCTGGATAACACTCAAATGCCCCACGCATAGGTCAGCAACCTATTTGATGCACTGCCCTCCAGAGGCTCGTCATTGCCTCCACAAAGCTGCGTGTTGCACTGTGCATGCTTTCAGTTTCATTTATCTGGTATAGCCCTGTGAGCCATTCGGCTCTTGAATCGGGTGCAACCGCAACAAACAAAAAAACATGAACAAGAAAACATCTTCAAGTGACTATGCGATGCTGTGGTTCCAACTGGACGTGACCCACCAACCCCGCCGATTACCGGATCACAAGCAATGCAATCCGCCACCATGCACACAAGCTGGCTGGTGATTGATCGTCCTCACGGCTGCTTCAGTCTCACGGGTCAGCGACCTGCAGCTCCGAAGCAGCATGCGGGCGTCTCTTTAAATATGCTAAGTGAGCGTCATTGATGATCGCACTGCGGCTCTTGAAAATCTTGAGTTGTTTTTAGCGAATTCGAAAAAAATTGCTCAGTTATTCGGGTTTGGGGCCGTTCATAAATGACGTCACGCACCTGGGGGGGTGGGGGGGGGTCAGACATTTGTGACGATGTGTGACGAGTGGGGGGGGGGGGGTGTGAAATGTGGCGTCACATCAAAATGCGCAGCTTTAAATAAATATAAACAACACGTTCTACTTAATTAAATATACTTTTTAATAAATGTTTTCTCCTACAACATCAGAGTGCAGCGCCGCATTAAATACGCACTACAATGACAATAGTTTAAAGCGATTTGAAGCATGTTTTATTTGGGGGGGGGGGGCAGAGCTTTGTGACGTCATATTTGAGGGGGGGGGGTCTGACTTTTGTGACGCCGTGTGACGAAGGGGGGGGGGGAGGGTAAAAAATCGTCCAAAATCGCGTGACGTCATTTATGGACGGCCCCTTTTGCCTGTCCCCTACTAGCGTCGCTCAATGTCGTTGCACAACGGCTGCTGTTGCGTGGTGAATGGTGGGCACATTGGACTTGGAATTCCTCCAATTCTGTCCATCCAGCAGTGGACACGTGTTCACCAGAGTTGATCGGCAGGGCGCGCCCGTGTGTGGTGGGGTAAAGTGTGGGTACTCGCACCAACTTTCTTCCCAGACGGTCCGTCCTGCGTGGAAGAGTAGGCCAAAACACCTTCCACTCTCTCTCTCTCTCGATCTCGTTAGAGCTCCCGAGTGGAGGCCCTTCGACCGGCAGTTGCGTGAGCAATACATTGCAGGGCTGCACCTTGACCTACTAAGTGCAACTGCATCCTCAGGCGCTCTACAAAACGCACGTAAATCATCACAATATAGACAGGGCAATGATTGGGGGGTGGGAGGCGATACCATTATTAAGCAACACGATAATACTGATTGGAAGCTCCTGGTTACACCAGCCCACAGGGGATTATTGTCGTGCGTTCAAAAATGGGAGGGGTGGGGCTGGGTGGAGAGGGGAGGGTGGGGAGGGGCTGGGTGGGGAGGGAGGGGCTGGGTGGGGAGGGGAGGGTGGGGAGGGGATGGGTGGGGAGGGGCTGGGTGGGGGTGGGAGGGGTGGGGCTGGGTGGGGTGGGGCTAGTCACCCCGTGGTGCCCTTATAAAACTCAACGTTTAACCTACTCACGCGGGCTTGTGCCCGCCCTCACAGTCGGGCATATTTGCGGAATACACCACGCCGCCGTTGACCCTGGCCATTGACCGAGCAACCCAACGTTCCTTCCAGCTCCCTCCGCAGGACAATGTGTTATATCGTCGCAACGAAGGTGTGAAAAGACCACCGCGTGGCAACACCGCCACGCAGCCAATAGGGGGCAGTGAGAGCCGCCGATTGGTTTATTGCTTCGTTTACTCAGGGAGAGCCCCAAGACTCAACACTATTTTTTTCCTGCCAAGTTCTTGCAGTAGGGGGCGATGTTGCTGTCAATTGACTCATTTGCAAGTAACGTTTCAACATTGGGATGTTTTGGCCAATACCGGTTACATTTTATGTTTTTTTTTAAGCTATGAGAGAAAACCGGAGAACCTGAATGAAACCCATGCTAAACATGGGAAAGAGCATACAAACTACACGCACATGTATTCTCCCGATTTGGCAATCGAACCCAGGCCCCGTTTTCCTGTGCAAGGCAAGTGTTTCCACTGTGCTACCCTGTTTCCCCGAGACTAGAACCACGTGTGGGTTCCCAGGACATCCCGGCTGGTACACACGTCCGTCAAATCTGCAAACGACAACAAAACCCCATCACAACAGAGAAAAAAAACAGTGTAGGATGGGAAACCCCCAGGTTTCAAACAAGACACAAACATTGTTTTAAAGAGCTCACAGCCATTTGTGTATAATAGAAAAAAAAATCCAACAGAATTATCCGAAGAAGTCCATTGTGGCCCTCTTGTCAGATCGCCATCAACATAAGTTTGAGAAAATAAGACCAAGTGAGGAGAACAGCAGCAAGTGTTACGACGATAGTCCAATGAGTCCTCATCTTGACGGAAAACCGGTCCGCAGGTAATCTGCAATAACGCTAAAGTGGACGATGGCTTTTCCCCCAGGACCGGCAGCCTCTCATCAGCTGGTCAAGACTGACGATTGCCGCCTGAAGAAGTACAAAGACCGCATCGTGGACGCTGCCACCACCACGGGCGTGGACCCGGCCATCGTGGCCGCGATCATCTCCCGCGAGACCCGCGCTGGCAACGTTCTCGACAACGGCTGGGGCGACAATGGGAATGCCTTTGGGCTCATGCAGGTGCCGCGGTGGCGAGATATTAACCACCTCGCCTGGGATGCAGGAGATCGTGGGTTCAATGCCGACGCTGACGCCTGCTGTATATTTGGAGTTTGCGTGTTCTCCCCGTGGTCGCGTGGATTTTTCTCCGGATCCTCCGGTTTTTCTCTACACGTTTATAAACATGGGCTTAGAGTAGTTTTTGGCTGCTATACATATCCACGTGATAGGCCACTGAGTTGAGCTATCATTTGTGGCCAGGTCGCTTGTGAAAACATAGCTATGTAGCTCAGTGGGCCTCACCTAGCAAAATAAAAAATAGTTTAAAGCAAATGGCACAAAGTCTGATGACTCCTTGGTGGATTTTGAGTGTCTCTCAATAACACTCTGTAATGGGTGTATACTGTATATATACATACAGCTTTATGAAGGCTTAAATGCTAATATTGTAGCACTATGATAAATCATGTAGTGTAATTTCGTAACCTAAACCCCGAGCATGACTACGTACGTTACTGCCAGTTCCGTGCCAACGTTTCAACATGGCTTTTACTTTGATGTAGCTTCACAGTCTATCACATTTAAAGGTGAATAATATTGGAGTGTTTGGCATCGGCATGGATGTAAGACGTCGTTTCAGGTTTGTGGAAAAACCAGCATTGCTTGTCCTCTTTGAATGGACTGGTCCCCACCATAGAAATGTGGAAAACTGGAAATGAGCACCAGCCAATGCTGGTTAGAGTATGGAGGACACTAATGTTTACATGTAACATTTCAGAATCGTTATGTATTTTTTATTAACATCTACTGGAAAGAGCAGTGTTCTTCATTGCGAGGCCCGCGGGCCACTGGTGGCCGCTGGTGGCCTTTAGTACGACCCGTGACGTGTGGCCCCTGAAAATACACACGTGTTAAAAACACCCCGTCATGCTGTCAATCCACAATGGTCTCGAAAGTGGCCCCCATCTGAAAATTAGTGAAGAACACTGTTATTGAGTGTAGTCTAAATGTGCTCGCACCTGGTTGTTAAAGTTGAACTCTGGAGCTGACTTTGGTGGAGGCCCTTTGCCATCAGTGGCATGATCAAGAAATGTCAGTGCTGCCCCTTTACCTTTGCAAGAGAAACCCGTTAGGTGACATAATTTCCCTGAGGCCATGCCCGGACATGAAGAGAGACAGACGAAGTGGGAGATTAAGAAAATAAGAGGGGCATTAGATGACATTGTACAAGTTTGCCTGGCTCGTACCAGCTAGCTCGTACCATCTGGCTAGTACCAGCTGTGTCAAGACTGGCTTCTGTGGAGGGGGGCCGATTCATGCGGTTGTTAAGAAAATTAAGTGGGCTTTGGCAGGACACGTTACTATAAGCAATGATGATGGAGCGGCAGCCAACGAACAACGCATCCGAGAGGGAATCCACAAGGGGAGACGCATCGAAGAAATCGGCTCGTGTGAGTTGGATTATTATATCACGCAGGATTGTGACAGGTGGCAGCGGATCATGGCTGATGATGGTGATGAAGAATTCCAAATCGTGTTATATTTTGCAATTGTGAGAGGTAGCTGTTGCCGTAACTGCGCGCCTGTTCACGTGCTGTCTGCCAGATTGACAAGCGCTACCACACGCCCCTAGAAGGTGCATACGACAGCGTGGAGCACCTGGTGCAAGCCTCGCACATCCTCATTGACATGGTCAACACGATCAAAGGCATGTTCCCCACCTGGACAGCAGAACAGCAGCTCAAAGGTACAAAACGATCTTCGGCGAGTAACATAGAGCCGGGCTATCCGATGCAATTTAGTAGGCTTTTCGTGATCGTGCTGTGTAGCTCAGCGCTGTGTATTTTTCGGGTTGTTGTACCATGCGTTGTTTTGGCACAGTGTCCAGCATTTCGCTCAACTTGTTTCAGCTCCTGCTGAAGCTCAGCAAGATGTTGAGTGAACGTCAGGCGTCGTGCCGAACAACACGCGGTATAACCCGAGAACACATCGGAGGGCATTGGATTATTGAATCATGTATATTGCTCGACCGATTATCGATTACTCGACTGACCGGCTAGCATGAAAATAGCGCAGCGGTTAGCTGGAGCACACCATGCCTCGCGGGTACCCGCTCACATCTGCGTGCGTGCATGTGTTGTGTGTGTGTGGAGCGGTAGTGTAGTGGTCTGCGTGCTCCGCTATGAACTCAGAGTTCCGAGTTCGAATCCCCACTAACGGCCAACACCAGTGACAATTATCTGAACCGGTCCTGGGTCGCCCCTAGGTCGACTCAGCCTCAAATGAGTACCTGGTGCGGTGTGTAAACATCGCTGGCCACGCACCGCCTCGTGTGCCGTGCCGGCCTTCATAGGCGCACCTTAACAGCACTTGCCCCATCAGTCGGTTAAGGCTACACCAGGGATTTCTTGTTGTTGTGTGCCTGCATGCACAGGAGGCATCTCCGCTTATAACGCGGGTCCAAGGAACGTGCGCAGCTACGACGGGATGGACATTGGCACCACTGGCAATGACTACGCCAACGACGTGGTGGCTCGGGCCCAGTGGCTCCGTATGAATCAGCGATTCTAAAGCAAGTCCCCCCCCTCTGGGTACCCCACTACCTATAACCTCCCCCCCCCCCACGTACCCCCCTCACTCCCCCCCTAGGTACCCCCCCCCCCACTTACCGCTCCCCCCCCAGGGTAGCCCCCCGCTCCCTCACCCGCCGCTTCCCCCCACCCTGCTCCCCCACTCCCCCCTAAGTACACCACCTACCGCTCCCCCCACTCTGCCACCTACCACTCTCCTCCCCGCTCCCCCCAGAGGTACCCCCCCCCGCCCCATGCCACATCCCACCGCTCCTTCTCTTTCACCCTCCGAGCAACAGCTGATGGAGAATCCCCGAGTAACTCGGACGGTCTCCACTCATCGGGTGAGACACCAGGCCTGATAGAGCTGGTGCACGGGGTCGGATTAGCAAACACTGTAACGGCTTTAGGGGTTGCAGCCCAGGGCATCGGATTTGCAGTGTCCCCCCAACATTTATGTGGCTTTATAAATGCAAAAATACAGCGGCACTATTTATATATCCTGTGGTTCCTAATTTGACAATTAAATGCACTGCACCAGTATGGAAATTAGTCAAATTACTGATAGTTATATTCCACATTTTCAATGTAGTTTTTACTTAGATTTAGCTTAACAGGTGTGTCTATAACAGTGTTTGTCATCGGGCATGGCAAGTCAGACATTTTCATGTTTGTGAAAGAAATGAAGTGCTTATTGCCCCCTATCGAGAGACTGGTCCCCACCATAGCAACGCGGAATTTTAACCCCTTGGAGTTGAGCATCAGCCAAACACTCGTTCGAGTGTGCAAACACCTCGATGTTTACACGTGAAAAATATATATACGAACCGCAGATCTTCAAAAAAACACACAGTCTGCAGCAATGTGCCATTACCTGGTTTTAGAGCCGGACATGAATAAATAATATACAATTCAAGTTAGATTGATGTCGCATTTATGTAGAATGCAAACGCATTAGAATATGCTGTACAAGAACGGGGACATTGTGCATCGTATACACCAGTGGTTAACAATCTTTCTTCATCCGCAAAGCACTGTCAACCCGAAAAATATTTTCACGGTCCACCAGGCAGTAAACAAACGAGACGTCTTGTATCTGCAACGGTTCCTCTGGCCATTCGCCACGGCTTTGCAAAACGCCACTGGTCCGCGCACCACATAGATCTGGAATCACTGCTGTAGATTCTAATAGACTTATTTACCTATTCTCTGGATTATAATATGTTACGGAAAATTATACTCACCTCCAACTTGTGCCGGGTGTCAATAACGGCGTGCGCATCTTGTCACGCACACGCATGCACACACCTACCAGATTATAATACGCATCCTTAACTTTTCTTTACAATCCACGAGGGGACGGCGATAGTACCTGCACAATCCGGACAATACGGTCAATCATTTGCTGAGCGAGCCTGCCAGATAAATCCTCATTAATGTGACTCTCAGGCTCGAGTGCAGCTTGCAGAAAGTCGACTGTGCTCAACATGCCCCATCATTGCGGCCATACGCACTCGGAGTGGCAGCAGCCGCCACCGACAAATCGCTTGCTCAGTGAGATTTAAAGTGTAGTGGCGCTAATCTCCACCGTAAGCCAATTAAACACCGCGAAGCATTCCGACAGGGCGGGATTTTCCCCTGGAATGGGACGCCAGTTCTCTCACGACGGTGGCTCTCTGCTGTGGGCGCGCGGATTTGCGTGCCGTCGTTAATTTCTTCAATTGCACCCCTAAATACCAGACTTTAACGTCGTTGGTGAGATAAAAAAAAGTAAGCTGCTGTCTTATGTTGTATCAGGCACTGGTGGTGTCTGTTAGATTCCCCTTTAATAGGCCCTCTCGCCCAATTACTATGCATTATTGCTTGTGTTTGTTTTTGCTTGCGTGTTATAAAGTATATTATGATGCTTATCGTTGTATGTGTGTGTTACATACCTCGCCACCGACTAGATCCCCTGTCTGGGATCGTGATCTCACCATTCTAGAATCTCCCCCAGATCCGGAAGAACTCTGGCGAACAGAGTGGAACAACTACACTATGGGGACCTCATTTGCCAGTAAAAATATGATAATTGGTTCTTTACCCTTCTATCTGGCAACAAAACTGACACTATTTTGCAAGGAGTCATGTTTGCATAGACCGCAATACCTGCAGTCATAATACAAACAAAAGAACATAACTCTGATAATGTGCACTGTCCTTGAAGTTGATTGGTCCACACCCGAGACAGCTTTCCTTCGAGCCTAGTCTCATATGGGTTGGACCAGATGACGCCTTTTGGCGTCATCTGGACCAGATGACGCCTTTTGGCGTCATCTGGTCCAACCCATATGAGACTAGGCTCGAAGGAAAGCTGTCTCGGGTGTGGACCAATCAACTTCAAGGACAGTGCACATTATCAGAGTTATGTTCTTTTGTTTGTATTATGACTGCAGGTATTGCGGTCTATGCAAACATGACTCCTTGCAAAAAGGTGTCAGTTTTGTTGCCAGATAGAAGGGTAAAGAACCAATTATCAGAGTGGAACAACGCGGGCGTTCAGAATGAACACCTCATTCGAGACCCAAACATCGGACTTCCTGGCTTTGACATAACCATCAAATGCCTCGGGACATCAATAGGCCAATGCTCACATCTCATTCAAGAATGTGAAAATTTAAAGCGAGGCACAGTAGTGCAATTGTGGCTATGTAACCAAAACTATGGACCAAATGGTAAACCACTGTGGTCTCTGCTCCTTCAACTGAGGAGTAGGAAAAACAAAACTGTACGAACTCTCTCCCGAAGCCCTCTCATGGTTAGCAGACTCCAACATTGGCATTTAGCTCCTGAACATATTGCCATATGCAATAATAGATGAGAATGGGTTCAGTGTAGAGCGATTGGTGCAGTGGTTCGCACACTCCGCTACGAACCCGCCAACCTGAGTTCAATTCCCCGGGCATGGCTAACATCAGTGGCAAGCGACATCTGAATCTTCTGTGGGCGAGCTTTTCACTAACTCTCACTGACCAGCATGGTGAAGTATGTACAGTCCAGTCTAACAACCCCTATAGCCGCCATAGTGCGATGGTGGCCTTCAACCAGCAGTCGATTGACCGACGACTAAAAATCCAATTATATTATTTAATCGATTAAATTGTTGACTACATCATACACATTAGTTAATATAGACACGTGAAATATGGTAGACAGCGTTGCAATGTTTAGAATGCGCTGTCCAAAACACTGGCCCTGCATAAGATTTAATGTATGTGTAGTGACATAGCACTGGCTGTTGGACAGCAGCAGGAACTGCAGGTGGGCACTTAGTGCACACGCCGCTGAGCATATACGCAGGTGTGCCGGCAGGGCGAAGAAACTGGGGCAAGGGTCATGGTAAACCTCGTGTGGAAGCCTCTGGAACCCTCTGGAGGGTTCGAGAAGGGAGGCGCGGCTATGGCAGAGCCAAGCCGCCCCGAGGGGAATATCAGCAGTGAGCGAGAGCGCCGGACTGCCAGTTCTGAAATTGGACTCGTCTCGTCGTCGCTGTCGTCGTCACCGCCCTCGTCGCTGCCGCCTTCGCCCGATCATTGCGCGGCCGGACAGTAGTTGGCTGTCCCGGTCGACGCCATCGGTGCAATGCGGACAGGGTCGTGCCTGGGATGGGTCGGCGGCAGCGGGGTCGTGTGTGGGAGAGAGAGGAGGCCCGAGTGATGGCGTGAGCTCGGCAACAACAATAAAAAGGGCAGATCAGTGCCTCCTGCGACCATTTCGTCTCCTGCTGACTGTGTGTGCGACGCACGCCACCCGCACGCACAGACGACACTACGCATGTATGCCTGTCGAACTTCTTTTGCACCCGTACGTAGCCAACCATGCAAATCGGAGGTGCCGGGGGAAGGCAACGAAGCAAACACAAAAAGCAGTTTTAAGAAATGAGTTTTCAATCTAGATTTAAAAGTGCATCAACAATAAACCAACCTCGTTTTGGCAATTAATTATTCACGGACGTTTATAGCAAAGTTTGTTTTAGCTCAAGTGATGTGAAGTGGCTTACCTGTGACTCACACCACCACTGGAGTCTGATCTCCACACGAGATAGTTTGATTCTCCTATCTGTCTGAAGTCCTTGCCATTCCCAGTCAGAATCCTACACACTTACTGTGGTTTGCTTTTTCAATTAGTTTGGGGGTGCCGCGGTGGCGAGATGTTAACTACCTCGCTTGGTATATAGGAGGTCGTGGGTTCGATCCCGATCCCGACCCAGACGCCTGCTGCTGTATATTTGGAGTTTTAGTGTCTCTCTTCCCGTGGTCGCGTGGATTTTTCTCCGGGTCTTCCGGTTTTTAGCTCCACATTTATAAACATACGTTTCGAGTATTTGGCTGCTATAAATTTCCATATGATAAACCAATTCATTTGGGAATCATTTGTGGCCAGGTCGCTTCTGAAAAAAAAGAGTTCAGTGGGCCTTACCTGCTAAAATAAAAACTAATAATTTAGTTTACAAACATGTACGTTTGTTGTTGGCCATCCCTTTACAATCAACAGGTGTGTTATGGCATATACGGCAAGTCAATAAATTATAGGACTGTGTGGCGCACATTTAAAATAATATAGTAATGGAAACAACAAATCATCTATTCACCAACTGCTAATCAAAGTGTTTATAAGGCACCACGGTATAAAGTGGTGTACCGTATCTCCAACTGTAAGTCCACATTCATCTCTTCGCCCTCTGTCTGCTCGGAAGAACGTCCATTGCTTAACGCGTTTAAATTAAGTCAAAGTCATGTCCTGCTCAGATTAGCGTTGAAGAGGTGGCTCATTTCCCTGTTTGTAGCTCTGAGCCAGTGGTGGATATTCCACATCGTTCCTATGTCGGGGGCGAGTCTATCCATCGGACAACCACTGTTGACTTCCACACTTAAGTGGTACGCGTTTTATCGATACCGGAGGGATGATGGGCTAAGTCAACCCCCAAGCAGGATTAGAACTCGCAACCTTCCGCCCGTGAGCCGCTCGGTCAGTGGGGGAAGGCATCGTTAACGATGAACTGGGTAAGTTGCATTCGTCATAGTATCGGGCGCGTTCAGCTCTCGTTCATCACCTCGTGAATGATTTAAACTGGCGCCCTCTTCCAACGAGCATTAAAAACGATACACAGTATTGTCATTTATCTATTCAGGCATATCACGTATTGAGTCTTAATAGTTGTTTTCCTGGGGGACTTACATCGTGATATTTGGCCAAAATGTGATGAGAAGTATTCTATTTGGCTCTCCAAAGTGATTTGTGCGTTGTCACCGTACGTTGTTTGGCATGATGTCTGACATTTCGCTCCACGTGCTCGGAGCGTCTTCATCCCCCGAACAACGCACAACGTGACCCGAAAACACACGTCAAGGGAGCTTTATGGCACGACGGTGTAAACCTACGCAGACGCGTTGTGCGTGCATGTTGGAGGAAACCCACCAAGCAAAACGAGGAGACAGCACTCCAAGGTTCCAACAGATGGAGCAGTCACTTGGCCATTTCCCCTGCTGCCACCTCGAGGCCACGTCACAGGCCAGTGGGTTTAAGATTTCACGAATCTGCGTGCTTCATCAGCCCTCGTGCAGCAGAGCACTGGACGACTTTGGGGCGCGACGGGCACTCCACCTGACCTACATTGGGGGACTTGAGCGTCTTCGGGGCTCGGTGTTGGTGCTCATGACAGGAGGTGAGGAAACCCGGTCAGACAAGGGGCAAACGCAGTCCCATCTTCCCTGCGGGTGTGAATAATGAATAGCGTACTCTATGTGCCACAAAGAGGCAAGTCAGCAGTGCACGCACTCGTAATGTTAAAGAGTTACACGTTGCCGTTGCCACAGCAAAGTGATTATTTACCACGGTTGGTTCCGGACTGCACACGTGTATTGTCACACGACCCAACGCTCACCAAAACTCATCGTCACTAATTCAATGTATATTCTTGGGCCTTTCGATGAAGTCACGTAGATAGGTTCAAAGAAAATAACCAAAAATTATAAATAAATAAACCACGACGTTTCGATCGCAACACAAGCGGTCGTCTTCAGGAAAAGGGAGGATTAGCTTCCAAGGGAAAGCTGTTTATAAGGGTTTGAAATGGACGTCGCTCAAATGTCAGCAGCCAATGATAATGTAAGTGAGAATCGCCTTATTTGTAATCAAATGTTTTCTTCTTATAAGCATGTTGATATGATGATATGACTATAGGGTACAATAATATAGAATTATTATGGATAGATGTACATTGTACTCTAGTGGTAATGTCCTTATGCTGATAGCCCCTACTGCATGCCAGCCTAGCAGCATTCCGGAAAATGCCGTGCAAGAACTGAAACCCTGCTGCTGGATAATATTGGTCTGGGAAAGCCAATAGGCGGATGGACTATTTTGTTGTCATTACATGTGGAGACAGAACGAATTTCTGATTATAAATGTCTTTACCGTATCGATAATTCACGAGCTGCTGTGCCTGTTGAATTGCATGGGAAGTGGCAGTCACAATATGGACCTGATTCATCTTCAAATAAGTTGTGCAAGCAGGGCACAGCACGACTTTGTGTGTGGGTAGAATACACAAGGTTGTCCTTGATGGGAAATGCAATACAATTAAACTATTATTTGGATATCAATCATATATATGCAACCGCATCCCAAGGCGTTGCACATAAACAATGGGGATATGTATTTGTCTACAGAGAGAGATACAGTCAGTCATGAGCAGAGGAAAACAGGAAACTCTTGGGTCTGGGCTTGAATAGAGGCACGGAGTGGCAGCAGCAAAGGAGAATAAGCGACCTACTGAACAGAGTTTGACTGGGGGCTTCTACGGAAAGCCTTGGTTACTGGAGTGGAAAGTATGTGTCGGCGAGTAGGTAGGAGAGCGCAATGAGGCTGTGAGCACGTGACAGTGAGATAAGAGGGGAGAGCGCTAAAGGATATTAAAGAAGGTGAGTATGATCTTGAAATTGATCTGACATTGAATTGGGAGCCAGTGGAGGGACTGGAGTACTATGGCGATGTGGTGCCACTTAAATGGTATGGGTGGGAAGTCTGGCAGCAGCATTTTGGATCATCTGGAGTTTGGAAACGAGGCATATGTGGTGGCTGCTGAGAAGAGCAGTTGCAATAGTAAAGTTTAGATGTAATGTATGTATGCTGAACTTATTTTGCACCGTTCATAGCCAAACGTGCTAATCAAAGGTGTGAGGGAAGGACAACAAACTAAACACAAATAAACAGTTATAAAAAAAAATTATGTTCAATCTAGAATTAAAGTGCATAGTGGCTTCCTAATATTTGCTTTCTGTGGTTAGAAAACGAGAGGTCAGTATCAATGACAATTTCCCTGGATTTGCAAGCTCTCTGTCAGTGTGATGTCAGAGTTTTGGAGGCACACACTCAATTTGGAACGTAAACAGAGTGGAGTGAGTAGGAAGTCACCATATCTCTACCTATAAGGGCATCAACCTGCAGCTCAATGTACAAGAGCATCAGGTTACCAATCTGCGGTTGGATGGGAGCCTCCCAACATCATGTGGGTCGTGAGGGTTGTCTGACCATACTTCACCAAGTTGCTCAATGGAGGTCGAAGGCAGGGAGCATGGGCGCAGGATTATATAGAGCAGTGTTCTTACATCATTAGACCTCCTTTGCCAGTACCAAAATATAATAATAGCGGTTTTACCCCCTTTTTTCTGGCAATCAAAACTGAAACCTTTTTTTACAAGGATTCATGTCTGCATTAACCACACTACTTATATTATCATAGTATGTTTTTTGTTTGCATTTTGACTGCAATTATTGTGGTTAATGCAGACATGATCCTTGTTAAAGAGCTTTGAGTTTTGTTGCCAGAAAAAAGGGAAAAACCCCTATTATTATAGTGTTCTTACATTTTCAGAGCGGGGCCACTTTCACCGATAAGGCATCAGTGTGAGGGCCGCCACACCGCCCTGCAAGAGGTGTTTTCATATTTGTGTATTGTCAGGGGCCGCGGGCCTTGCAAAGAAGAACCCTGATGTCGAAGGTACAGCGCAGAAACAGTGTTTTGCTGCAGCTGCCCTCTGCGGTCCACAACATAGCCAACAAGTTATCCAGGCTTCAACCTGCTTAGCTTAGCCTGCTAGCTCTGATGGTGTTTGGGCGCATTCCGTACGATTAGGGCCAGAGGTTGCTCAAAATAGCACTGCTACAGCATTCACAGGCACGCAGTTGGACAGTTCGTAATTACAACGTGAGTCACTGGAGGATGATGCCTCCTCCATCCCCTGACGTCAGGTGTACACACCGTGACGTCAGCGCGGCGCCACACAGTTGCGTTGCACCACGGCGATCAGCAGGTGCCTGTGCGCATGGACCACGGCCCGCGTGCGCCCAAAGCGACTCTGAGCAGTGCCGAATGCTCCCTTCGCTCCACCCATGGCAAACGAACGCGTCGTTCGTAAGTTTGTGTGCGGCGTTGCTTTTTTGTTGCATTGAACGGGGACCCATCGCCAATAGCATCATGTAAATCAAGCAGCATTTGTTGAAACAGACTTGACCCTACTGATGAGATCCAAAACGTCGAACCTGGTCTGGAATTTGCTTGCTTAAACAAATATTGGTCTGGGAAGCCATAATCGGCTGTTGGACTAATACACATTTTATTATTATTTTTTCACCCCAAACTAAACCGAGGAGTCGCCACTGAATAGCAGGCACGTGTCGTCTATTAGGGGGGTCGGGCATACCCCC